CAAATATCCAGATGTGTGCAGCACATTTTATGGAGGACTGTTTACTGATCCTGGGAGAGTAACGTTAGACTAAAATGCCGGCAGTTCTGACTCACGTAAGTACGTTTTCATTTATCATTTGCCACTGATGATTCAAATGCCAGTTTTGTGCAGTGTAGAGTAGCACTTGTTGTTTGTCATTTCTCTGATCACAAATGCAGACAGGGTTTTATGTTTACGCGATGCGATGCAATGCAATGCAACACAACGCGTAAAAAGACAGTGTAAGTCATTATAATCAGTAATGATGTCCCCACTGGATGCAACAAATGCCTTGTTTATAATGGGTTTTAATGTTTTTGTCTCGTCGCTCCGGCCGGACACGGCATCACAATATGGTGAGGGGCGTAACATTTCCGTCACACGCTTGAGGTATTCGGCCAATCACAACGCACTGGATAGCCGGCCAATCACAGCACACCTCGCTTTTCAGACCGATGAGCTTTGTAAAAATCGACGTGTTTCAGAAAGGCGGGGCATAGAGGAGAAACAATAATGTACAGTATGTGGAAAATAATGTGTTTTTTTAACCTTAAACCGCATAAACACATTTCATTACACCAAATACACAAAATACTGTTCTTTTTAGAAGCATCATATGACCCCTTTAATGTCCGGAAATGCGAGTAATAGTTGTTTGTTGGCATATTTAAGTACACGGTTTTCCTCTCAGGATGGAGATTTTCTCCTTGTCTTTTGTTCATGGCCCCAAATATTGCAAGCCATTGCGATATGTACATTTGCGATATTTCAGTAATTTTGATATATTGCACAGCCCTAATCCTCATGCAAGGGACCCCCATCCTAAAATTTAAACGGCAGCTTTATAATGCATAAAGACTGTGGAAAGTATTTATATATTTTTACATTTTTCTCTAATCTTTTCCTTGGACTCCAGCTTGAAAACCTAGAGGACAAATGTTTGATTTGTGAGTTATATGTGTTTATAATGAATGCATTCTGTTCTTTATTGATCCGTTTTTAATGTCTATTTTTATGCTCCTGTCTTCATCTGTTAAAGGTACTTTGAAGAATTTGAGAAGAGAATCCCTCGTGCAGAAATGCAGTTTCTCTCAGTGATCTTAATGAATTAATTCTACAGATTTATAAAGTATCACTGTGTTTAACTGATGTTTGCAGACTCTGATACTGAAGGAATCCCGAGTACGTCGGCACCATCTGCGGCAGCTACAGACGAGGTTATCCATCGTTCTGATCCAGGTATTTAACATCAGTTATCAACGAAATGTGTCATAAATGCATTTGTTAATGCTCAGGAGCAGAGTCGAGTGGTGATATTGATATACTGCTGACCCATCCGGACTTCACCTCTCAGTCTGAGAAACAGGTGAACGTTCAGTTTTAAAGACTGAATGATTTAATGCATGCAGGTTTTTGTCCTCTCATAACTCCTGCTGTGATTTCTGTCCTGCAGCCCAAACTCCTTCATGCTGTCGTGGATCATCTGGAGTCCATCGGCTTCATTACTGACACGCTTTCTAAAGGAGACACTAAGTTTATGGTGGGTCTCTGTCTGTCTTAGTCTGCATTTTAAATAATAATAATAATAAATGAATAATAAATAAGGCATGTTTTTCCTCAGGGTGTGTGTCGGCTGAAGAAAGAAGAGGAAGATGAAGAAGAGTATTTTCCCCGCCGTATTGACATCAGGTTCATACTGATTATTTGTGCATCTTTTCCAGTGTTTTGTATAATTTATATACTATTAATATTCTAGATAAATAATTTGTAAATAATTAGTTTTTATTTTTGTGTTTTATTTTCTGTTTTATTTTTAGTTAAGGTTTCAGTCATTATGTTGTTTTTTTGTTAAAAAAAAATAAATAAAAATGTATTATTCATTTTAGATTTTTTTTTTTTTTAAATGTCTATGTAGGCGTTTATTTTAATTCTTAAAGTTAAACTAAACAAAAATGAGAAATGTTGCCTTGGCAACTAGCTAAAATAAAAAAATCCTCTTGACTAAACTATTTGGGACATTTTGATGTGACTCAATTGTTTTATTAATATTTTGCGTCCAGTTTAATTTGAAGACTTCGTAGAATGTAAAAAATTGACGTTATGTACCATGAACATTATTTTATTGTTTTTTGAAGATTATGGGTTCTTAAAAGCATATGTCATTAAAAACACTGAATTATTTTGAATGAAATGCAGTACTAAATAAACCAACAATTTAAAATAGATTACATTTTTAAATAGACCAAAATGTAAATTATACAATTGACTAATCTGAAACCTAACTTAACTAAGCTAAAATCTAGAATCTACAATGATTCCTGCCATCTGTAGATGAAAGTGTCCGAGTTTTAGCATAGTATGTCCCTGTGGCAAATATCATATTTGAGGTTTTTCCAGTATATTCCTCATGTCTTTCTCTCTGGATCTGCAGGCTTATTCCGAAGGATCAGTATTACTGCGGTGTGCTGTACTTCACCGGCAGTGACATATTCAACAAGAACATGAGGACTCGCGCGCTGGAGAAGGGCTTTACTCTCAACGAATACACCATCCGTCCACTGGGCGTCACTGGTGAGACTCACGTTTATACATCACAGGATAGAAGAAAGTGCTGAAAGCTAGTGCAGACTTTGGCTGTGTCCGCCCCCAATAGCCTCATTCACTATTCCCTACATTAGGTCACTAATTCAGTTCACTAGAAGGAGTGAATGAAAACGAGTAGTGAATTCGGACACTGGGTGCACCGGAAGGGAATTCATTCGGTGCGTGACTCTCACGGTGCATTATGGGCATTCTCTAGCCGTTGAGCGTGCACCAGTTGTACACTCGTTTTTGCAGTGCATTGTGGGATTGAATGAGTGCACTCGAGAACGTCCACTATATGGTTTCGGACACCACTAAAAATGGCTGTTCCTTCAAATAGTGCCCTATTTAAGGGTATAGGGGGCGATTTCGGACACAGCCGTTGAGTTTCTGTCCATCCAGAAGTCTGATTTACTTCCTTGGGAGCTTGACTTCAGCTGTAGTACCTGATGTCTCATCATGACCGCTCTCTTTGATGCAGGTGTGGCTGGAGAGCCTCTGCTGTTGGACAGTGAGAAGGACATGTTTGACTACATCCAGTGGAAATACAGGGAACCAAAGGAGCGCAGCGAGTGAAACCGAGACAAAACTCAGCCTCAAACTGTGTGTGTGCTGCTCATTTAACTCATATTAGTGTATTTTAATAGTAGAAGACACATTTAGGGAGAGATGTGTGTGTGTGTGTCTAAAATTTTAAAGTTGTGGAAGCAGCTACATAATAGTAGTTGATGGTGCTTTTTATTAATAATTGTCATGCATAATATTTGGTTTTAATCCAAGTGAGAGAGAGAAATTGCATCACAATACTGTGACTACAGATATTACATTATAAGATCATCAATCTCTCATACAGTAAGTATAGCAGCATACATGTATTTATTTAAACGTACTCAACACTGGTATGCAAGAAAGCAAACTGAAGAAATATATGACTGATGATTGTCTGTGGTTGTGTTATTAAAAATCTATTATTACGTTATTGGGATATTTTTATTTATATAATAGTCTACCATAATATGACACAAAAGATTCTTGAAGTTTGTGTGAAAATTTGGATTCTGCATTAAAAATCCAACAAATCAGTTCAGGTCTGTTTCATTTTCTGGATTTTTTTTTTCCAAATAAATGCACATCTGAATTATGAATTGTTCTTATGTGATGATATATTGACTTTAGTTTTTCTTTAGAGTAGATTGATCAGAATAATCTATCTAATAATGAATCAATATAGTGCTCACATCACAAATAACTGGTTCTCAGTGTAGTTTTCACTGCAGATGCAGATCTGGCTCATTTACGTTTAGTCATTTAGCAGACGCTTTTATGAATGAATGAATGAATGAGCCCTTTATCCAAAGCGACTTACAAATGAGGACAATGGAAGCAATCAAAATCAACAAGAGAGCAATAATACACAAGTGCTATAACAAGTCTCAGTTTAATGCAGTACATGTAGCAAGGTTTTTTTTTAAATCATATAATAAAAAGAAAACGGATAGAATAGAAAAAGAATAGCGCAAGCTAGTGTTAGAGGTATTTTTTGGTTTTGTTAATTGTATAATAAATAAAAAGAAAAATAGAATACAAAAAGATTAGAGAAGCAAGTGTTATTTATTTTTTTAAGAATACAAGCAGTTAGTAAATGAACAGAGTGCAGGTTTAAAAGGGGCACTTTTTTAAAATAAAGAATAGAATTAGAATTGAGAGTGCTAAGAGTTAGAGGGTCAAATAAAGATGGAAGAGATGTGTTTTTAGCCGATTCTTGAAGATGGCTAAGGACTCAGCTGTTCGGATTGAGTTGGGCAGGTCATTCCTCCAGGAGGGAACAGTTAGTGAAAAAGTCAGTGAAAGTGATTTTGTGCCTCTTTGAGATGAACAATAAAGCGACGTTCACTTGCAGAACACAAGCTTCTAGAGACACATAACTCTGAAGTAATGAATTTAGGTAAAGGGGTGCAGAGCCAGTGGTGGTTTTGTAGGTAAACATTAATGCCTTGAACTTTATGCGAGCAGCTACTTGTAGCCAGTGCAAATTGATAAACAGAGGTGTGACGTGCATTCTTTTCGGCTCGTTAAAAATTAATCTTGCTGCCGCGTTCTGGATTAATTGTAAAGGTTTGATAGAAGTGGCTGGAAGACCTGCCAAGAGAGCATTGCAATAGTCCAGCCTGGACAGAACAAGAGCTTGAACAAGGAGTTGTGTTGCATGTTCCGAAAGAAAGGACCTGATCTTCCTAATGTTGTATAAAGCAAATCTGCAGTACCGGGCAGTTTTAGCAATGTGGTCTGAGAAATCCAGCTTATCATCAATCACAACTCCAAGGTTTCTGGCTGTTTTTTTTTACAGTGTATCTTTCAAAAATGGCTGTGAATTTAACGGTAAAAGACTCTAAAAATGCTACAGTAAAATCCTGTTAAATGGTTAACGGTAAATTCATCTACATATATACAGTGAAAAACTGTATTGGACATTACATGTAATTTTACGGTAGCATACCGTTTTTGGAAGTGGAAAATACTGTATAATTTACAGTGAATAACCGTAAATTGACATTCCCAGAATTCCCTGCGTTACATTTCAAATTTGATGTTGTTTACTTGAAATAACTATGTTTCTTCTTATCAGTTTTGTATATTAGGGTTGTGTGTTGCATCTAATGTTGTTAAATGAATGTTTATTGCATTATTTCAGCTTCATGTGTGTTATCATGATGGTGTTTAGTGTTTGTGTGAATGAAACTGTGCATCTTCTATATATATTATTATTTAGAAGCTGCTTGTGATGGGCTTTGGTTCATCATGTGACTTTCTCATCACCTCCTGCATTTGGAGGTTATCAGTGTATTACAAGAAGTACTTCAATAGGTTGGTATATTAACATTATATCAGTTAAGGAAATTACGGTATTTAACTGTGAATTTAAGTTAAAACCGTAAAACCTGAAATGTTGCTACCATCGTTTTTTTTACTGTAAATTTTACGGATTTTCTTTACAGTGCAGGGACGGTAGAGACATGTCCCCACCAATATCCAGCGATATTAAATTGCGGTAAGCAGTGATACTAAATGGTCCCTAGCAATAACTTTGATCTAACAATTAAATGTGTATATGTAACCACTGCTGTTGTAATTTCGGCTGCATCTGAAATATGTCATATACACAGCTGCCCATTTGTTTTTTGATTATCTGTTGAACCCTTTTTGCTATTATCTGTTGAATATTATATTGAATGCACAATTCTTCATTAAGCAAAAATGGTTTAAATCTCCTTTGTCTTTTCGCCTTTCTCTTGCTGAATTTGATTCTCTTGTTTATTAATCTTAGACTTAAAAAAAAAAGTAGCACATTTTTGATGCATTATGACAATTTTAAAAGAGAGAGAGAGAGAGAAAAAAATAGTTTGTAATCTTATTTTTGTGCTTTTCTTGTAGATAAACCCTTATTATTAGTTCTCTGTTTTTGTTACTATTATTATTTATTTATTTTTTTTGCAGGAGATACAACCATGTCTAATTTCCCTGTTATTGTATGTATTCATAACATAGACGTATAAATATTTATTTATAAAATATATGTCTATATATAATTTATTTATGTCTATGATTCATAAGTTCCAGTTTTTTGCGTCTTCGGCGCAAGGCATGACGGTCTGACATAAAATGCAGAGCTACATTGCAGCGAGACTCTTGCAGAGCCGACCAATCGCAGAGCCGGGCATGGCAGCGACAGCCAATGGAAGTCGAGAGCGGGAGGAGCCAACGGCAGTTACACACGGTCAAGCACACAGCGCCGCAAGCGAGTCGTTTTTCTCTCCGTGTCAAGAAATCTACACACAAAGAAGGTAAAGCTTTTACTTTCATCCGTTTAATGCATATTAGTGTGTAGAGCTAAACATCACGTGTGTGTTTTTCGCTCAGAGTAACCGTTTGCGCTCCTATATTTCAGCAACCGTCTTAAATATCATTGAAATTAATACTAATAACAGGATTTATTAAAATATAGATAAAAAGACGCATAATTCCGTCATTAAACATTAAGCAGACAATTCTAAAAATAACCACGGCGCCATTCGTTTAGCGTTTACTAATCACAACAAACATCTTAAAAGGCACAGTTTGAGGTAGTACTTTTTTTTTTGACTGTTTTGTTTAATTAGCTAATTTATTAAAAGTTAAATAAGCACAATTTCCAAATAAGTATCATAAGTTTGTTGTAATAATCTGCGGTGCTGAGGACAGCCTTCAGCGCAGGTCACCATGGCAACAGTAGCCTGCTGGAAGATGTCACGTGATGTTACACAACGCTGTGGAGCATCTCATGTGCTGAGATTATATAACGCTGAGCAGCTTCAGCAGATGCTGGAGGACTGTGGGTTTGCAGAGAGCAGGGTGAGCACTAGATAGGGTGCGACACCGCTCAGATCGAGCCCTGTTTAACTCGTTCGTTCAGCATTAAATGTCTTGTCCTTCCAGATCCAGCATGTCGGACAGAAAGGCAGTGATCAAGAATGCGGACATGTCTGAGGAGATGCAGCAGGACTCTGTGGAGTGCGCAACACAGGCGCTCGAGAAGTACAACATCGAGAAGGACATCGCCGCCTACATCAAGAAGGTCAACTACACTTTATGGGCTGAAAAATCAATTATTAAAACTATATATGGATTTTATTCATTAAACATATAACCCAACTTAAATTACAATATACTGAAAACACAAAACACACTTTTTATTCAATGAATATGAATGAAAGTCTATTAATTTATTCGTTGAAAAATCTATTTTTATTTATTAATAACATGTTATGTTTGTTTTTTGCATTTTAATTAAGTTTGATTAATTTATAACAGATTGTTGCATGAATGTATTATGAAAAATATTAATATAATCTAACTGAATTAAAATGCTAAAAACATGAAAAATCAATTATTAAAACTATATATGGATTTTATTCATTAAACATATAACCCAACTTAAATTACAATATACTGAAAACACAAAACACACTTTTTATTCAATGAATATGAATGAAAGTCTATTAATTTATTCGTTGAAAAATCTATTTTTATTTATTAATAACATGTTATGTTTGTTTTTTGCATTTTAATTAAGTTTGATTAATTTATAACAGATTGTTGCATGAATGTATTATGAAAAATATTAATTAATATAATCTTAACTGAATTAAAATGCTAAAAACATTTCATTTCTATTCATTTATTAGGTTTTTATTTACATTTGAATTAATTGATCGAAAATGAGTTTTAATTTATTAATCATATTTGATTTTATGTATTTGTTAGCATTTTAAGTTGGGTTATTTAATTAATAATAAAAAATATATATATATATATCATTAAATATTTAATTAATACCTTGAAATTGACTTAATTAAAATGCTAAAAGAAATACAAAATCAATTTTGTATTTTTTATTAAACACTTACAATTATTAATTTTAGTGAATATGAATGAAAGTCTATAAATGTATTCATTAAATATTTATTTGTATTTATTAATAACATTAGATGTTGTGTTTTCTTTGCATTTTAATTACGTTTGATTAATTTATAACAAATTGTGAATTATTGATTGAAATTATTAAACGAATGTATTATGAAAAATATTAATTAATATAATCTAACTGAATTAAAATGGTAAAATAATTTCATTTGTATTAATTTATTAGGTTTTTATTTAAATTTTAATTAATTGATAGAAAATGTACATTAATTTATTGAAAATTAGTTTTAATTTATTAATAATATTTGATTTTATGGTTTGTTTTTATTAGCATTTTAAGTTTGGTTATTTAAATGTATTTAAAAACCTGATTTATATATATATATATATATATAAGAATATCGTTAAATATATAATACATTGAAATTGACTTAATTAAAATGCTAAAAGCAATACAAAATCAATTTTATGTATTTTTTATTTTAGCATTTTAATTAAGATTGTTTGAATTTATTAATATTGATTGTATTAATAATAATATATTAATTTGAATCATTTTAATCATCTTCTATTTGATTTATGTCCACAATTCGATGGTATTTAAAACCTCTAAAATAGTTAATTGATAGTAACTGCTTTTATTGAAGCCATCAGTTGACATTATTTCAACTTATTTTTGTCATCAACAACTGTAAATCAATAGTTTTATCATTCTTTTATTAAATTATGTAAGTCACAATGCTCCGTGGGAATGGAGTTCAGTCCCTCATTAAAGGGGAATTAAATTCAGTCTTGTATCTTTGTCTTTTTGTTACATTTTCAAGTACTTTTTTGCTTCAACTTAAAGTTTATAACGTTTTTTAAAATCCCGATGGGAAAAAATGAATACTTCCACAACCAATGCCGCTGAAAAAGATATAAAAAGATCATAAACGTCACGCTCAAATATGAACGGCATTTCATATGAACCGTTAAACGTGTTGCTTTCTTGCAGGAGTTCGACAAAAAGTACAACCCCACCTGGCACTGCATCGTGGGCAGGAACTTCGGCAGCTACGTGACTCACGAGACCAAACATTTCATCTACTTCTACCTGGGTCAGGTGGCCATCCTGCTCTTCAAATCGGGCTGAGCGACGGCACCCATTCATTTCAACAGACCATTACGAACTGACTGTACTGACGAGGCGAACCATTCCTGCTCTGGACCTGCCTTCTTTCTCTCGGCTGCTTCTCCTTTTGTTCTGATTGTTTAGAAAAAGCCAGTGTGAGCGGGAAATGCCATAAAGAAACACTTGTATTTATTTTTGTTTTCTATACACGGTTTGAGCGTTTTATGTCATCTGCGGTTTTTTAATTAAAGCAAAATGGTTTGGCTGTTCGCCTGGAGTTTCTTGTCTTCAGGATGTGTGACGGTGTCGGACTGAACTGATGTGAAATCAGTGCTTCTCGAGACTTTTTGACTTCCAAACCATCACAATTCTCAATGTTTTTAAAACTAGGAAACAGAAACGGTATTGAAGGAGGGAAAAGAAAAATATATGATACATGTGTGTGTGTGAATTTCAAATGTTGGTACATAAAATAATTTAACTTTAAAAATTTTATATTATTTTTATTCATAATAAATATAATTATCTTTAATAAAAACGCAATTACTGCGAGTATGGTTAAACAAATATTAGTTTAATTACAATAATCTAATTAAAATGCCAAAAAAATCTAATAATGCATTAAAATGCTAATAGATTATTTTAATATTGATCCTTGATTATGTTCCTCAGCTTTGTGTCTTTACAACTTGCTGTGGATTTGCTCAAGTCTTAAGTCAGTTTACAAACTTTAAAGTCACGTTTGATTCAAGTCATGCATCTTACTGAACATGAACAAGAATAATACAAGCTAGGCATAGTATTAAAGGGAAACGGGTGCTAGAAGCATTAGCAGCATCTTAAACATTCAAAATGGACTTGTAGAGTCATGTCATTATACCATCTATAATAAGCATGCTCACACCTGCACAGAATAGAGGTGTAAACACTGCACTCATTAAAAAAAAAAAAAAAAAAAAGCCCACCAAAGATGAAAAGCTAAAGCAGACTGATTTAGAAATGCAAACAATTGACTATTTAAGCCGACTGCAATGAGACGCTTGCCAAGCTATTTTTAGAAAACTACAATCACATACAGATCTTTTAAGAAATCTTCAAAAGAGACATTTCAAGCTGCTTTTCCACAAACCAACTAAACGCAGAACGATTATCTGGTATGAGAAATCTCTGGGAAACTAATACAATTTCACTCATGCACAATTAATGAACAGAACTGACCGTTTAGATGCACTTAAATACGTTTTGAAACTCCACTATACTTTAAAATGATCTTATTGCATGTTTGTTTCAACATTTTGAACCATTTATTGATCCAATTACTTTTGATATTTTAATAGGCTATAAAGTTAAAAAAAAAAAATATTTGTAATTTAGTCTATTTATAGATTAATTTCTAAACAAATTAATGCATATGCAAGATTAAATCCTTTATTACTCTGTTCTACACACTGACAGTCAGTCCTTCTGACACAAAGAGGCACAGAAAGTGATCTGGGTTGCCACAGGTTTTATTAGCATTTTAGAAAACCAGTTTGTGTGGATAGACTCCATTAGACAAGCAGAACGTGGAGCGCAGGTATCCCTTGAGCAGAGGAACCTTCTTGATCAGAGGAAGCAACTGAGAATCCACTGCTTTCTGGTCCTCCTTACGCTGCTCCGTCAACTGGTACTTCTGCAAAAACCACAAAACACACGCACAAGATTAGAAAAGCTCAGGCTCTTAATTCTCCAACAGAGTCCTGCATAAGCATCCAATGACCTGAAACTGATTTAACGCTTGAAAGCCCGTTTTACCTCCTTCTCTGTGTCAAAGATCTCTCCCTCCTGGTGCTTGGGTCTCCTCAGCTTCTTCTTCTTGAAGTAGGTGTCGGTCAGTGTTTTGGGGACCTTCATGCCAGAGATGTCCACCTTGGTGGATGTGGCGATGCAGAACTTCTGGTGAGCTCTCCGCAGAGGCACGCGGTTCAGAGCCAGAGGACCTAAAACGGAGACAAGATCAGTTATTCACCGCAAAAAAAAACCCTGTCGCTTCAGCATCAGACGGCGATCACGTACCGGTGACGAGGAGAAGACCGGTGCCCAGCTGCTTGAGGAAGACCACGCGCTGCAGAAGGAAACAGATTGAACGTTAACAGCTCCAGGCCTCACATGAACCTCTTTTGCAATTCAAATATCAAGTGCAGCTTAGCCCAACTGAGCTCAGATGAGCGGTTAACGTGAGTGTTTGTGTGGGAGGAGTGCATCTGTGCTTCACATGTAGGAGTTCATTCTCCTTCGTTCGGCTACTGAATGCCGTGATTTGAAAACCACAGTATGCTGGAATTCCAGAAAGATGGATAGATGGGGAATGTGCTAGGGTTGGGACGATAAATCGATTCGTGGATCGATTCTGAGATTTTCCGAATGCATCGCGATTCCTCTGGAACAGATTCTGAGCTTAGATTTTAACAGCAGATGGCGCTCTAACCTAGTTTTTATCCACACACTCAAATGCTCATGAAGAAGAGTGCTAAAGAGCGCTTTTATGAAGCGAGATTAATGTAAACACAGCCCACTGCGAACTCCCTTGTAATTCGCTTCAACCTTTTTGAATTTTATGAATGATTATGTTCAAGTGTGTGTAAGGATTTGGAAGCAAGCAGAGTACGGCTGTTTCTAACGTATGCAGCGCCATCTGCTGTTCAAAACTAAACTCAGAATCGACTCGAGAAAGAATCACGATGCATTCAGAAAATCCCAGAATCGATGCGGAATCATTTCTCGATTCGCGATGCATCGATTTATTTTCCCAGCCCTAGAATGTGCGTGTACCTTCCCGCGGTGGCGTCCGGTCAGCAGGATCAGGACCGTCCCGGGGCTGATGGACTTGCGCAGTTTCCTGCGGTGCTGACTGAAGGGCTTGACGCCGTGACTCCGCAGCTTACGGGACACGTCCTCTGTGGGGTAATACCGGGGCTGGACACCAAACAGACGCGTCAACATGAATGCGGGAAACACAACAATGTGGAGTGAAATCAGCCAAACGCTTCAAATCTGCATATTCTTTTTTGAATTAAGCTTATAAATCAGTCATATCTTAATATTTGTAACATTATCTGATAACTTCAATGAGTTAATGCACAAAAAGTTTACTATATGTGACCCTGGAGCACAAAACCAGTCATATTTGTAGCAATAGCCAACAATACATTGTATAGGTCAAAATTATAGATTTTTCTCTTATGCCAAAAATCATTAGGATATTAAGTAAAGATCATGTTCCATGAAGATATTTTGTAAATGTTCTACCGTAAATATATCAAAACGTAATTTTTGATTAGTAATATGCATTGCTAAGAACTTCATTTGGACAACTTTAAAGGTCATTTTCTCCATATTCAGATTTTTTTGCACCCTCAGATTCTCAAATAGTTGTATCTCGGCCAAATATTGTCTTATCATAAACAATACAATACACAAATTGACACTTAAGACTGGTTTTGTGGTCCAGGGTCACATATTACTAACATCTACCCACTTTGACATGAGAAAAACCACTGATGCAAGAAAAAAAAATTCTCAAAATTCATTTTATTTTAATCATTAAACTTAAGAAAATATAATCTAAGAGTTACCAGTATCAGCTCCTTTGAATTCAGTTAAATTCCTTAATTATTTATACCTTCTTGCATCACATTTTTTCAATATTCATTCGAAATTTTATTTGACCAGCATTTTTACTATATAATCTGATAACAACTATTTTGACATCAATGATGGATTCATTTTTTTTTAATTACTCATTGCTCTTTTTTCCCCCCCAATGTGTCTTGCATCACATTGCCTTATATTTTCAATATTGAAGAGAAATTGACCAATTACATGAAATTTATTACAAATAATCTGAGCATTACCAATATCAACTCCTTTGAAATCAATAGATTTAAATTCCTTATTTTTCAATTTCTTAACATTTTTACCTATTACTTTTTACTTATAACGTGACTCATGACTGCACACAAAAAAGATTACCTACATATTCAATTTCTAACAAAACATCATAAATATTACTCATTATTTTTTCATTCTGCCATGGTTCATCAATAGACATGCATGTTCATGGACAAAACTTAGCCCCAAAAGTGTGCAAGATATGGTCAAGAATACATAAGGCTACATAAATTCCACAAGTCTTTTTAACACTAATTTATCTCATAGATCACAGAAGCAAGTCTGCATAAACTCGTGTAAAGTTTGGTCAAAATGGACACAAATGCAAAAGATGTACATGTTTAAGATTATACACTTCTGGTCCCCAAACAAGATCTCAGTGATTTGTAATAAACACTCACCAGCTTGCGCAGTTTGACCACACGGGTGCCTCCATTTTTGTCTCCACCGACAGTTTTGACGACTTTGCTGGGAGCCCTTTCCTTGATTTTCTTCTCAACCTGAAACATCAAGCCCGAGCGTTAGAAACCCTCAGGTTTGAGGCGAGACCCGTGACCCTGCAGTGACGATACCTATATAGACTGCCAAACATCATTATATAACCTATTCCACACTATATTCACAGGATAATCCGTCACGTGCGGCTTTACGCTCTTTAACGCGAATATAAACACACAGACCCGGAGTCAGGCCTCAGCGCGCGCCGAACACTCATAATCTACTTTACAACACACTACATCCACAACTATTCGCGGTTACTAGTGCTATAGGCATGTTAAAACACTCATATATGATCCCGAGTGAGATTTAAGAGCAGATGAATCGGATTAACGCAGATTGTATTTGGGGGGAAACAGACACGAAAGCCACAATTACCTTCAGCTAGAAAAAAAAGACCGACATCCGGGCATTTGACGTATATATAGTCGTGACGTGTGACGCTCGGGGTTCGTCCGCCGTCGTGTTTCCGTCTTAAAGGCGCAGGCGCTTCTCCGGCCGCGCGATGGAGTCACGAGCGCCGCTTATCGGGCGAGGAATGGAAATAGTTTATTGTGTCTTTTGGCAAATAGAAGCAAATTTGTTTGTTGTAGAGAATAAAGTAAAGCAATAAATCAGCTTTAGAAACGGAAAGTCCAGATTGCATTCATACAGTAGAGTAGTTAGCTAGCCACTGTCAATGCATGCAGTTTTGTAATGTTTATGCATTCTATATATACAGAGTTGATAGATATATACATAAATAGATAGATAGATCTCGAGTAGTTAGCTAGCCACTGTCAATGCATGCAGTTTTGTAATGTTTATGCATTCTATATATACAGAGTTGATAGATACATATATAAATAGATAGATAGATCTCAGCTAAACTCTGCAGGACACCGGCCCTCCAGGACTGAGTTTGGGCACCCCTGCGTTAAACGAATCGTTTGGGAGTCGTTGAGCAAGTACAGTAAAAATAAATACATATTATAAGACAACGAAAGTATTTTTTGACCTTGCATGCATGTCCACCTGTTGTTGGGGACTCCCAAAACCAAAATATGAACCTTTCATAACCCATAATAGGGTCACTTTAACTCAAATAAAATTACAGAAGGCATCCTTTCTCATTTTAGTTCAACTTGACGTACTAAAGTAGCTTAAACTGAAATAATAATTAATGAGAATAATATAGAAATACATAAAAAAAGACTTAAAATGATAAAAACACAACAAAATTTCTTTAAAATTAAAATACAAAAATATGAATTAAACCTATAATAGTATCTCAATGATACTAAAAGTCTAGATTAATAATAAATCTGAATAGATCAATAGTGAAAAAGGTATTTTTGCATGACATGTTTCAATGCATCAAGCAGTCATCCATCTTTTTCTTCTGAAAATGTTTTTATATTTTGATGCTCGACTGTACTGCAGTACTTGTATTTATTTGTATAACTTAGATAAAAAAAATTGAAATATATATTATAATATTAAAAAACTGCATATACCTGTATATACATATATAACACAAATTTGAAACGATGCCGCATTTTGTGCATGTATTGACATTTTTATTGTTTTTATTATTATTATCATCATTATTGTTACTGAAAGAGATATCATAACGATTATCACCTAAACCCTCTAAATAAATAAATAAATAATTATCAGCTATTTGTACTGGTCAGGACTCCTATAATGTGTGTGTCTCCAGTCGTTAGTCTCTCACCTGCATGACGTTTCCCACGACGACACTGTTGACCAGCTCAGGAGCCACGTTCCCCGCAGCCAGAGCAGCTTTAGAGGCATGTTCAGCCAGATCCGTAGCGCTGTGGTCTTTCAGGACCCCTCCATACGTCCCGAACGGCGTCCTCTTAGCCGAGACGATGAACACACCAACACAAACACACAGAAGAGACAGCTGGGGCAAGTTCAAGCTCAAACCGGTGTGCACCGTTTTGCTACGGTTTCCGGTTTGAACGACATGTTTCCTGGAAATGGTGTGCAACGGGGTTTGAGATGTGTTTTCTCTTGTTTGGTGGGTGTGTCAAACATGTCAGCCCAATCAGCAGCAACATGTATGTAAACCACGCGGTACTAAAGAGACAGTTCGCACAATGTAATTAACATCCGAATAAATTCACAAGAGCACGTATATTGTTTGCACATTTGTATTTACATTAAAGGAAAAATAGCTGAAATAATAAGGTCATATAGATCATAACACAGTCTCGGAGGTAAGAAGTGGATTATCCTTCACTTGAAATGTTTGTCTTTTCATCCTGAAATGTGAGGCAAATGTTGGATCACAATAATTAGGAACCACAGTTTCCACAAACCCCTTCATTTGATTGGGATGTTCTCTTTCTCTTGAGTCATCAGAACAGTGTTCAACGCACCACCGTTTTCGTTTAAAACACGTTTTGCCCCGTTTTGTCCGGGCTGAACGCAGCCCTGGTTAGCTTCCTTCCTGCAGTTAACCAATAGGAAAGCAACACTTTATTACACAAAATATAGACATTATTGCATTATAACCAACATACACAGGTTCTATAGACTTCTGTAGAGGACATTATATTTGAGTGGATTTCTCTTGAGACGCTACACGCCACAGTTTCTGTTCAGAGCACAGCTTTTTAGAGATATTAAATGTTTGGAGGTTTGATCATAAACTCCCTCTCCTTGTTCTCTAAATATGACTGATATTGACTGAATGATCAGATTTAGCACTCTTAGGGAAGTATGATAATGTTTTGTCATGATCATTTAAATCTGGCTGATTTTCAAATTGTTTGTCGTAAATAAACATCTCAGAAAAATGTTACGGGGTTTCAAATCCAAATCTGACTCTTTGTTATGAAACAGGGCATAATTTTCATACATGTCTTCTGTAGAGGACACCAGGACAAACGGCTGTTAATCAGGCATTTTGTGGAAACACAACGAGAAGTTATAGATCAATATTCCTATGAAATATGAGATAATCTTATGAAAATGTTCCCAGGTCATTGCTCCCATTATTAAACTTCTTTTTTCATTCTGTTTTCCCCCAAGAACACATTAATATGCAAATTAGATGCAACGTATAGATACATTGTATCGAATCTTTTTTACATTTTGCACACATATTCTATAAAGTACAGTAGTATCATTTTGTTATATCTTTCATAACATACGTAGTTGAGAATCATCTTCGTACAAAGTTTAGCCTGAAACCTAAAAACTGATTGGTGAATGAAAAAATAAATCATTGTTTTTGCCTATACATGCCTTTTATTTTTTCATTTATTTATTTATTTAATAACTTAATCCTGGCGTCCTCTACAAAGGACATAGAATAAAATATATTAAATATATTCGCTTCTTATGCTCCGTGATTTATGTAGTAAGTATACAAATATCAGTGTACTAGTAGTATACTTGTAAGTGTACTATTTCAATACTCCTTGGGACTAAATTGGCCCACTTTCTAGTATATAAAAGTATACTTTTAAGTATAACAGTAGTAAACTTTGAGTACACAACTAGTTTACAACAATATTTGTAGCTTGTACTGCAACTATACTAAAAGTGAACTTATATGAATACTGATAGTTTACTAATTAAATACTTTTAGCATTAAAGTAGCATTTTTAGTACACTTTGAAGTATAGTCTCAGTAAACTACTAGTTTTATACAGCAAGTATACTCGTACGTTTTCTTTAAGTGAACTTTACATCATACTTGAAGTATACTACTATGTCCCTATTTAAGTATGAATTTGTATATCTTTTGTTATCTGAATATCTGAACATACAAAACATCAAAAGAACAGGGTATCTGCTTGTAAACAAAAACATTTTATTCTAGCTTCATGCATTCTTTTTTTAAACACTTGAATGTGGATAAGTTTCATAAATAATAATAAAAAAAAGAAATAAACAACATTTTGAACAAAAAGCTGAAAAAAGACTATGAACTGGATTCATAGTAGTAGATAAAGTCGATCAACACCCCAAAGCTTGAAAGTCATTATTACCTCTTCATTGGTCGACATTTTATTCCATAACGTTACACAGTTTTGATGCTGTTTTATGTCTGATGATCGTGTTGGAATACATGTGGACGCATCTGTTGTTTCGGTTTCTTCTTCACTTGTGTGTTTTGGAAATTCTGTACAGAAGATGTGTACTAGCGCCCCGTACAGTATAACAATGAAAACACAGATTCTCGGAGCACAAGTATAGCTCAATATATTTAGACTTTTTCTAAGTATAAGTCAAGTATACTTAAATGTCATTTTAAATATATTTCTGAGAAGTACATAAAAAGTAGACTAAAAGTATACTTTCCTATGTTTTTGTTTAAAAGAAGTATACTAATAGCACACTTGAATAAACTTCTTTTTCGGAAGGGTAGCTCAGTAAATTTCAATAATCTGTTAATTAACTGTGCAACTACGAATACTTCAGAGCTGTTTTTACAGGTAGGCAAAATAAAACGAGCAGATAAATTCAAATAAGAAACAGAATGAAAGTATATTAATAATAAAAGTGACATTGAGGTTCAAGTGCAGAGCAGAAAACAAGCGCAAAACCACATTAAATAAACAAATAATTTGAGCAGTTTTAAATATAGTGCCTAATTTCAAAGTAGAGTTGATTTATTTACCTCTCAGCCCTGTTGAAAAAACAGCATATGCTGGTTAGGTATGTTTTGACGCTGGGATGCTGGTTTATGCTGGTCCTTTGCTGGTTTAAGCTGGTCCTTTGCTGGTTTAAGCTGGTCATTTGCTGGTTTATGCTGGTCCTTTGCTGGTTTATGCTGGTCCTTTGCTGGTTTAAGCTGGTCCTTTGCTGGTTTATGCTGGTCCTTTGCTGGTTTATGCTGGTCCTTTGCTGGTTTAAGCTGGTCCTTTGCTGGTTTATGCTGGTCCTTTGCTGGTTTATGCTGGTCCTTTGCCAGCACACGACCAGCATAAACCAGCATAGGACCAGCTTAAACCAGCATCAAAACATACCTAACCAGCATATGCTGTTTTTTTCAACAGGGAGGAGAGACACTTCACAACATTCGACAAACCTCTCAAATATTACATTATGCAAAGTAACATCTCACTTGTCATGTAAACTTACATTTTTAAATATATATGTGATAAGTATGATATTTAATTATACTTGATATCAATCAAAGATGAAAATGTATTAATGCGGACGTGAGTGACCTGCAGATCCACGTTGGGCACCGGAAGGTGTGTAAAAAAACACACTTGTAAACCTGTGTTAAACACTTTTAATTTCTCAGCATTGATGTTTGTAAAGTCGATAATGCTGTAAGTTATGGAGGGGATTGTGTGTCGTACTGCAAGCCGGATTATATCAAGTCAAGCTTCATGGTACGTATTTGACTTTAGATATCCATGTGCATGTGTTTATCAGTATATCTCTCACAGAGGTCATTATGATGATGATTATGATGATTAATTACTCTTGTAAAGTAGCATTGTGCTTACTGTCAGACACAGTCACTGGTTCACATCAGTGCTTTACCTGAAAACCTCAATGCCATTAAGGTCAGTGCAGATACAAACTATACTCTTATGTAAATCACAATTATGTATTTTACCATACCATATTTTGCAAGATATATATTTTTGTTTATATATATACACACATATATACAGGTGCATCTCAATAAATTAGAATGTCATGGAAAAGTTAATTTATTTCAGTAATTCAACTCAAATTATGAAACTCGTGTATTAAATAAATTCAATGCACACAGACTGAAGTAGTTTAAGTCTTTGGTTCTTTTAATTGTGATGATTTTGGCTCACATTTAACAAAAACCCACCAATTCACTACCTCAACAAATTAGAATATGGTGACATGCCAATCAGCTAATCAACTCAAAACACCTGCAAAGGTTTCCTGAGCCTTCAAAATGGCCTCTCAGTTTGGTTCACTAGGCTACACAAGAATTCACTAAAAATGTTTTTTTTATTGGTCTTATGAAGTATTCTAATTTGTTGAGATAGTGAATTGGTGGGTTTTTGTTAAATGTGAGCCAAAATCATCACAATTAAAAGAACCAAAGACTTAAACTACTTCAGTCTGTGTGCATTGAATTTATTTAATACACAAGTTTCACAATTTGAGTTGAATTACTGAAATAAATGAACTTTTCCACGACATTCTAATTTATTGAGATGCACCTGTATAAACTCTAAAGAGAGAGAGAGAGTTTAAAAATATTTTTAAATATATTTTTGTAAAGGTGTTTCACTGTAATAAATGCATTAATAAATGCTGCTTGTACTCCACAGAGCAGAACCCAAGAAGAAGAAGAAGGTGGACCCGCGGCGAGAGATAATGATGAAAGAACATCTGAAGAAGAAGCTCAAAAGGCTGGAGAAAGTTCCACCAGAACTGATTCCCATCGAAGACTTTATTACACCAGCTAAGTGCTTTGACGAGACCAGGTAAAACGATACATCCTTAACTAAACCACTAATTAAAAGTCTGGACACACGTCATTTATTCTTTACTGTTTTCTACATGCACGTTTGGACTGGGAATTGTGTTTGGAATCATCTGTTCTGCTCACCAAGACTGCATTTATTTGATCAAAAATGCAGAAAAACATAATTATTATTAACTATTTGACAAAATTTTGAATAATTTTTTTAATGTTTTTGAAAGAAGTTTCTTCTGCTCACCAAGGCTGCATTAATTAGCAGAAAAATACAGTAAAAATTTGAAATATTATTAGAATTTGAAAGGACTATTAACTGTTTGATTATATAGTAAAATATAATTTATTTCTGTGATGTGCAGCTGTATTTTCAGCATCATTACTCCAGTCTTCAGTGTCACATGATCTTCAGAAATCAGTATAATATGCTGATCTGCTGCTCGAGAAACATTTCTGATTATTATCAATGTTGAAAACAGTTGTAGAAGTAATAGTGTAAAAAAATGGGAGAAAACCCCATCAAAGTGGTGGACCCGCGGCGAGAGATAATGATGAAAGAACATCTGAAGAAGAAGCTCAAAAGGCTGGAGAAAGTTCCACCAGAACTGATTCCCATCGAAGACTTTATTACACCAGCTAAGTGCTTTGACGAGACCAGGTAAAACGATACATCCTTAACTAAACCACTAATTAAAAGTCTGGACACACGTCATTTATTCTTTACTGTTTTCTACATGCACGTTTGGACTGGGAATTGTGTTTGGAATCATCTGTTCTGCTCACCAAGACTGCATTTATTTGATCAAAAATGCAGAAAAACATAATTATTATTAACTATTTGACAAAATTTTGAATAATTTTTTTAATGTTTTTGAAAGAAGTTTCTTCTGCTCACCAAGGCTGCATTAATTAGCAGAAAAATACAGTAAAAATTTGAAATATTATTAGAATTTGAAAGGACTATTAACTGTTTGATTATATAGTAAAATATAATTTATTTCTGTGATGTGCAGCTGTATTTTCAGCATCATTACTCCAGTCTTCAGTGTCACATGATCTTCAGAAATCAGTATAATATGCTGATCTGCTGCTCGAGAAACATTTCTGATTATTGTCAATGTTGAAAACAGTTGTAGAAGTAATAGTGTAAAAAAATGGGACAAAACCCCATCAAAGTATCATGAAAAATGTTATGCAGCAAAAACATTTTCAACATTAATAGTAATAATTACTAATACCTTTACTATTAAATGCAGCAAATCAGCATATTAGAATGATTTCTGAAGATCATGTGACACTGAAGACTGGAGTAATGATGCTGAAAATACAGCTGCGCATCACAGAAATACATTACAGTTTAAAGTATATTACAATAGAAAATAGTCCTTTTAAATTCTAATAATATTTCACATTTTTACTGTATTTTTGTGCAAATTAATGCAGCCTTGGTGAGCAGAAGAAACTTCTTTCTAAAACATTCAAAATTATTCCAAACTTTGTCTAGTAGTGTACAACACACCAAAAATATTGAACAAACTGCTTGTATTGTTAACTTTAATTATTGATTTTAAGAAAATGTTTTACATGGTACAAAGAAGGGGGAAAAAATAAACAAGGCCGGAACCTCTTTCTATTGCGATTAGGTTATTCGAACTAAATTGACTCTAATGTACTCTCCAGGATCCGTGACGCTCCTAAACTCTCTTTTGAGGAGAGCGAGCGCAGAGCCCTTCTGCTGAAGGAATGGTCCAGATACAAGTACAGCCAGCACCAGACGGAGATGGACACCATCGAGGAGGCTCTGGAGGCCCAGAGACAAGCGCTGGACGAGCTGAAGCTAGAGCTTTATAAAGCAGCGGTTAGCCCAGATATGGACTTGTTCCCTTTCCAGCGCGAGGGGCCCAGTTACACGCCTCCCATTACAAACTATGAGGCTCCAGAGGGCAAATACAACAACATTACACGAGTATACACACAGTGAGGTGAGCCTGAGAATGGATTAAAAGTGTTTTCTGGTCTGATGATGAAGATGAAGAGCAGCTGTCAAAAACATCAGAGAAATGCACTGTGAGAAGAATGAAGCCAATTGAATCTATTACTGTGTTGCGAATCGTTGTTCGTCATCGGTTTCATTAAATCATGTTGCAAATGAATATTTGTCAACACAACTCGAGAGAGAGGTTGTGTATCTGAAATACAAAAAATATATATTTTGTTTTGCAGTTCTTGGTGTGGTCTTTAAATCATTTGTTTCCTTATTTATACCTTTCTTATGGTTTCTAGCTTCAGGCCGGTGATTTCAATGACTTTTAGGTGGTCAGTGTCACGGAATACAGACGCATAATTACAAATAAATGCATGATTATCTATTTACTATCACTTCTGATTTCTGTAGCACAATAAATAAGGTCTCTAGTGAAACAATAAAAGCCAAACTCTTGTAAAATTGCATGTTTCCATTCATAACCATGTTTGTATGTATGTGTGTATGTGTATATATGTATATGTATTATATATATATATATATATATATATATATACACCTTGCTACGTGTACTGCGTTAGGCTAACCGAGACTTGTCATTTGCACTTATATATTATTGCTCTTTTGTTAGTTTTGACTGCTTTTATTGTCCTCATTTGTAAGTCTCTTTGGATAAAAGCGTCTGCTAAATGACTAAATAAATAAATAAATGCGTGTATGGAATTAAAACACCTTTCGAATAGCATCAAAAGTGGCTTTGCGATATATTTTAAATGGAAAATAAACAGAAGTAGGATAATATCCCTTTGTGTGCTATATTGACTTTCTCATGAAATGCTTACACTTCAACGTTGACTTTATTAATTCCATATTTAGGTTCTGCACTAACTTGATCCAAGACTTTTTAAGCTGCTTTTTGCACTGAGCAAATCAGATCTGCAACAGAACAGAAGTGCATCAGTCCAGGAGAGGTAGTGTGAGAAGTTCATGCAACTCGAGTACTTTCTTGCGTCATAAATAGTCCTTTACGACTTTATGAGTCCTGTGGTTTGCCCTGGTTGAGAGGCAGGTGCCAATCAGCCGGAGGCGTCTGCCGAAGCTCCCAGACCGGAGTGAACTTCCCCTGCTCAGCGTCCCGCTTCCTCTCGCTCTCCTGGAGGGATTCCTAATGGTGCATATGGGATGGAGGATGAGTAGAAGGAAAGAAAGTAACCTAAACCTAGAAGTGACATACGGTCCTACATTGGTCTAGGCTCACCTTGGCCTGTGTGCTGTGGTTTTTCTCCCACTCTTTGCAGGTGTAAAAGTCTTCTTTCCACTGCTGGCAGTCCGGTGCTCTGCCATAGGAGTAGTATTCATGGAATCTGTTAAATAAACTCTTGCAGTGCTTGAATTCACACCAGTAGACGTCACATGAACGTGGTGGCTGTGGACAAAATGAAAAATATATCCTTTAATGGAACAGTTCATCCAAAAATTGCTCCCGTTCAAGCCATGCAAGATGTAGATGAGTTTGTTTGTTCATGGGAAATGTAGCACTGCATCAGTGTCAGTGAATGGGTGCCGTCAGAATGAGAGCTGATAAAAACATCACAAGTAATCCACACCACTCCAGTCCATCAGTTAACGTCTTGAGAAGCCAAAAGCTGTGTTTTTGTAAGAAATAAATCCATCATTAAGATGTTTTGTAACTTTAAACCATTGCGTCCGGCAAAAATACAAGTCCTCTATCCATAATAACGTGAAGTTTCAGTGAAAAAGTAATCTGGTCTGAATGAGGAGAGAAATCTGCACAGATCAAGCACCGTTTACAAGCCAAAACAGATATGAAACAAATATGTGGCTGGATTTTGATGTGAGAGGACAAGTAATCCACACCACTCCAGTCCATCAGTTAACGTCTTGAGAAGCCAAAAGCTGTGTTTTTGTAAGAAATAAATCCATCATTAAGATGTTTTGTAACTTTAAACCATTGCGTCCGGCAAAAATACAAGTCCTCTATCCATAATAACGTGAAGTTTCAGTGAAAAAGTAATCTGGTCTGAATGAGGAGAGAAATCTGCACAGATCAAGCACCGTTTACAAGCCAAAACAGATATGAAACAAATATGTGGCTGGATTTTGATGTGAGAGGACAACAGGAGATGGACTTTTTCACTGAAGGAAGCGTTATTATGGATTACAGACGCGTATTTTGGCCAGAAGCAATGGTTTAAAGTTACAAAACACACCGCTTTTGGCTTCACAAGATGTTATCTGATGGAGTGGAGTGCTGTGGATTATTGTGATGTTTTTATCAGCTGTCTGGACTCTCATTCTGACGGCACCCATTCACTGCACAGCATCCATTTCTCCAAACCTGATGAAGAAACAAACTTGTATGATCTGATATTTTGATGTATACTGTAGCACTGAAAGATTACACTTACAAAAGGTCCTATCACTGTACCATAGTATTACCTCAGTACGTTACCTTTTTGTAAATATACAACATTTATGAAAAATACCATGGTTTTACCAAAGTAATAATAACACAGTATTTATGTTAGTGTTCGTTTCAGTTGACAATCCCGAGTACACAAACATATATCAAGGCCTGGCCACGTGATATCGCACTATATTTGCAATGCAACCGCAAGGAGTTACTTAATCAACATTTAATGGAAAATATCGATGTAATGTAAATCTTAGACTGACCCTCCAGTGTGAGTGTGACCCTGCCATGCTGCGCGCTCTGCTCTGCTCTCCACTACCAACTACTGACAATGTCAAATAAAATAATATTTGCCTTAAGTTACACATATATATATATATTTAATTATAATTGAATCGTGTTCACATTCTATGCACGCGTCTGTATTATATATTAGAGTATAAGAATTATCGATACGCGTATTTATTTTGTCATCAAGACTTTTATTTTGTAGTCACGGTGAGGCGGAAGTGGAAGTTTGTTTATCTAATCCGGCGTCTGCAGTTAGTTTCAACAACAACAAGTATATCGGCGTGGGGTAAAAACGCTTTAATGCCCTCAGAAAATCTACGATGGGAAACATTAGAAGCTCTGAAAAGCTCTCCGAAGGGGAAACTCAAATACAGTCCAGACTGGCTGGAAAAGGGGGAGGTAAAGCATGCTAAAAACTGAAAAATATGAACGACTTTTTAGTTCATATGGATTATGAATCAGATTTATGACTAATTAAAGGTACAGTGCTGCTTTCTGACATGCACTCCACTGTGTTCTGATATGATGCAGAGGTTTATGAATATAATTACATGCATATATATATCAGAATACCATGGTATTATCATGTGATATTATCACTGTTCCTACAGCCAAAAACACATGCTATAATAGTAATTATGTTAATTATTATAATAATAATAATACAGCAACTATAGAGCACTTTTCTGCGGTTCAAGTTTGGGATCAGTAAGATTTGTAATGTGTTTTAAAGAAGTCTCTTCTGCTCATGAAGGCTGCATTTATTTAACCAAAAATGCAAAAAAAATATTGTAATATTGTGAAATATTATTGCAAATTAAATAGCTGTTTTCTGTGTGAGTATGTGTTAAACTGTAATTTATTTCTGTGATGCGCAGCTGTATTTTCAGCATCATTCCTCCAGTCTTCAGTGTCACATGATCTTCAGAAATCAGTATAATATGCTGATTTATTATCAATGTTGGAAACTGTTTTGCTGCTTAATATATTTTTGGAAGCTGTGAACTTTATTTCAGGATTCTTTAATGAATAAAAGCGAAAAAGAACAGCGTTTATTTAAAATAGACATTTGCTTTTGCTTTTTTGTTAAGTTAAAAAGAACATCGTTATTTAAAATATTAATCTTTTCTAACAATATCTAAGTCTTTATAATCACTTTTGATCAATTTAACACATCCTTGCTGAATAAAAGCATTAATTTCTTAAAAAATATAAATATAATACTGACTCCAAACTTTTGAACAGTAGTGTATAATGTTACAAAAGATTTCTATTTTCAATAAATGCTGCTCTTTTTTTTTAAAAACTTTTTATTCATCAAAGAATGCTGAAAAAGGTATCACAGGATCCCCAAAAAATACTGATAATAAATCAGCATATTAGAATGATTTCTGAAGATCATGTGACACTGAAGACTGCTGAAAATACAGCTGCGCATCACAGAAATAAATTACAGTTTAAAGTATATTACAATAGAAAAACATTATTTTAAATTGTAATAATATTTCACATTATTACAGTTTTTTCTGTATTTCTGATCAAATAAACGGAGCTTCGATGAGCAGAAGAGACATCTACTAAAATATTACAAATCTTACTGATCCCAAACCTTTGAACAGCAGTGTAGGCATTAGCTTTTCAGTACTTTACAAAGGATTCAAATGTTATTTTATTGAAAGACAAGAAATATGTAAAGAAATGTACTTCATTCTTCTCTGTTATAACATTTTAGGATGGAATGATGGCATTTGTTTGACATTTTAGCTTTTATTCAACTAAAACCAAAACGCAAAGTGTTAGTTTATAATAAAATTGTTGTTATAAAATATTTTATAAAGGAATTAAATGTTAAAGGGGTCATATGATGCTATTTCACATAAAAGACGTTTACATATAGTCCACAAGAGAAAATAACAGTTGAATTTATAAAAATGACCCCTTTCAAAAGTTTACATACGCTTGATTCTTGTTACCTGGATGATCCACAGTTTTGTTTTGTTTTTTGTGATAGTTGTTCATGAGTCCCTTGTTTGTCCTTCAGGTCCCACAAAGTCTTTGGTTTTTCAGCATTTTTGTGTATTTGAACCCTTTCCAGCTGATTTTGAGGAAGGAAGGAGGAGGGGGTCTTCAATCTTGAAGATCAGGGTAAATTTAACTTATTTTGTCTCCTAGGAAACATGTATTTTCTGTAGCTTCTGAAGGGCAGTACTAAATAAAAAAATATGATATTTAGGCTGTGGATCATCCAGGTAACAAGACAGTATTACGAATCAAGCGTATGTAAACTTTTGAAAGGGATCATTTTTATAACTCCAACAATTCTTTTCTGTTGTGGACTATATGTAAACGTCTTTTATGTGAAATATCTCATTCAGGTCAGTAGTTCTAAATAAAAAAATAACATGCATTTTTTTATGATCCCTCTTATTTTGGTAAAATAATTAACATCTTGCCGGTTCTGCAAAGTGTATGTAAACTTTTGACCTCAACTGTATCTATCGTTCTGTTTCTTGCTTGAGTTTGTGTTGGCAAAGGAGTGCAATGCTGATTTTTTTTTCTGTTTTCATTCATTTTTGATCTCAGAAAGCAGAAGAAATAAAGGAGGCTCCTGTTGTGAGTCCTGCAGCAAGCGTCAGCTCACCTCCAGTCATTTCCATCTTGTCGCCCAAAGCCACACAGATGGCCGGCTGTATCCGCATGTGTGAGCACAAGCACAAGGCCAAAGCAAAGGTACCACATCTGGAACTCTTTTTGTACAAGAAATTAATAAATTTTTCAGCAAGGAAGGATGCATTCAATTGATCAAAAGTGACAGTAAAGACATTTAAAATGTTGCAAAAGATTTCTATTTCAATTAAATGCTGTTCTTTTGAACTCTGTTCATCAAAGAATCCTGGAAAATAAAATATATCACAGCTTCCACAAAAATATTCAGCAGCACAACTGTTTTCAACACTGATAAGAATCAGAAATGTGTCTTGAGCAGCAAATCAGCATATTAGAATGATTTCTGAAGCCTGGAGTAATGATGCTGAAAATCCAGCATTGATCACAGAAATAAATTACACTTTAACAGACATTCACATAGAAAACAGCTATTTTAAATTGTAATAATATATCACATTTTTACAGTCACATAAATGCAGCCTTGGTGATCAGAAGAAGCTTCTTTTAATAATGCACGTGTTTTCTCTCTCACAGGCAGCGCTGAGTCTCAGACAGGAGCAGCAGGAGCGGCTGGTGGCCACGGTCTCCATCTGTGAGTCCGAGCAGCTCAAACGCTACGAGGAGTTAATGGAGCTCAAACAGAGACAGGAGTACCAGAGTATGAGAGATATGATGGAGAAAGAGTAGGTGACATCTGAACTGTTCATGCTCATTTACAGGTTAAGATGATTACATGTAGTGTGTTTTAATCATGTACAGAATTAGTTGTTTAATTGGGTGTTTCGTGTTTAAAGGACGCAGGAGAGTCTCGGCCGGCAGGAGAAGCTGCGAGAGGAACACAGACACAGAATGAAAGTGAGTCTGAACGGATCATCTAGATCTGAAAACTTCAAGTTAAGCTCCATCAGCAGCAATTGTGACATAAAGACCTGGTGTCACAGACAGGGCTTAGACTAAGCCAGGATTAGGCCATAGTTCAATTAGGACATTTAAGTCATTTTTCATAAACGTGTCTTAGAAAACACATTACTGGTGTGCATCCTGAGCCAAAACAAAGGCACTGATATATATTTTAAGATCAGTCCGTGCAAGTTTCTTTCAGTTGAAACAGCTCAGATTTACATTTTAGTCTGGGACTAGGCTTAAGACTTGTCTGTGAAACCGGGGCGATGTCCATTAACACAGGAAATAATTTAGACTTTTTTTCAAAACAAAAAATACTTTAAAACCAGTTCTGGATTCCAGAAAGCCTAAATGTGCAGCTTTTATTTTTGTTAAATCAAAAATGTTTGTAATCAACTGTTAAAAATATGATCAATAAGTCATGACAACGCACAGTATGTTTTTCCGTTACCAACTCATAAAAATAATGAATTTTAACCTCGGATTCATTAATTAAGTTATATGAGATTCAAGTAGACAAGATTTAAATAAACGAGTTGAAATGATTTGTACAGCTAAAACTACAAAAACTAGTTAGTTAACTGTAGTTTAGTTAACTAAAAACTAAAACCCATAAAAATCAATACATAAATAAACAAACAAACCAGCATTTTTGTTACATAAAACAAACTAAACGTAAATAAAATATTAAAAACTTACATTTATTGTATTTCGGCTAGTTGCCAAGGCAACATTTGACATTTTTTAGTTTACCTTGATGTACTAAAAAAATTAAACTGAAATAAAAATTCATAAAAAATTACGAAAGCACCAACTTTTAAAATTAAAGTTTATATATAAAAATTAAATGTATTAATAAAAACTCAAATAGAATCTCAGTGATACTAAAATAGCACTGCTTAGAATAGCTCTTTAATGCAGCTATAACCTACACATCAGTTTTCTCGGCAGCATCAACCCTTATATTTTACTGTACGTTCTTTTAATTTTGTCTGTGATCTCTGTAACATTTTACATGGGTTAGGTTTGTCTGCAGGTTTGGCAGTAATACCACAATAGGCTTTGTTTAAATGATAAATAAATACAAGTAAATAGCAGTACCTGTAATATTAGGCCTATGTTGAGTAAAATCCTTGTTTTCTGTGTTGCAGATCCTGAACCTGCGTCTGCGGGAGGCGGAGCAGCAGCGTCTGCGGGAGGCGGAGCTTGAGCGTCAGCGGCAGGTGGAGGGCAGAGAGCGGCACAGAGCTATCAATGCCATACAGGAGGAGGTGCTACAGCTCAACCAGCTCCTACAGCCACGCCCCTCCACACTTACTGACCCCGCCCTTGACCACACCCCCTACATCACCCGCGGCAACCAGCTCTGCTCGCAGGTGTCAGAGGTGGTGCCGGCCTCTGCAGATGTGAGTCCAAATCTGCCTTATCTATCTTATATACATGTTAAGCATTCAATTGCTTAAAAAGGGACATTTATAATGTCTATTTCAAATGAACGCTGTCCTTTTGAACTTTCTGTTCATCAAAGAATCCTGAAAAATAAAATGCATCACAGTTTCCACAGAAATATTAATCAGCACAACTGTTTTCAACATTGATAATAACC